CATGGCAGACCATTAATTCAAGTCCATTAAACGTCTCAAGATCAGCAGGGCAGCATGGCAAGCTGCTGAACAATGACTTGGCTACATGTAGAGTTCGAGTGTGCCAACAGGTGGAGAGCTTCCTCAAAGTTGCTTCTTATATACTGGAAGCAGCCCAATTCCTTAAAGCAGCTACTCATCTGCTCCAGTAGAAGCTCTGGTAGCATAGTGGCTAAGGCACTTGACTGCTAACCAGAAGGCTGGCAGTTCAAACCCACCAGCCACTCCTCAGAAGGAAGATGGGGCAATCTACTTCCATAGTGATACTGCCTCGGAAACCCAAGGAGGGGTCTCTATGAGTTGGGTCCGACTCGACGGCACACAGCAACAACATCTGCTCCAGTAGATTCCACTATGGAGTTAGTTACAAATCCCACCATAGGGAATAACTACATCCAGCTGCCCAGCCACTCAAACTGGCCCAGCCAAGTTACTGCACAACCTTAACTACCACACTCTTTAATAAGTAAAGTACAATTAGAGGCATCCAAATAAATCAGAAGTCAGTTTAATAAAGCTAAACTAGTAAAGTGGGAATTTTCATGTAATTCAGGAAAATAAATACACCAAGTTATTTATATGTGTCCATATGTCCCCATGTTGTTGTTGTTATGTGCCGACGAGTCGGACCCGACTCATAATGACCCCTCCTTGGGTTTCCGAGGCAGTATCACTACAGAAGTAGATTGCCCAACCTCCCCATAGTATCTAGATTTTAAGGTCACAAACCACCCTTTGCATTCCAGTTTGACATCTAAACTTTTTCCTTTCCACATTACACAAGATGTATCTTGTGACATTTTGACCACTAGATTCTAACACACTAGACAAATCAAGGATGGAAATAATGTTGAAATACTTCAGAGCAAGCTTCTCTGATTTAAATCATTTAACATGCCAATTCTGATCATTTGAACATCCTACTTAGGAAAAATAAATGTCAGCAGTCTATTTGATTACAAAAAGTAAGAACCATGAGCCTCCTCCAAAGTCAGAAGGACACAACTATGCATTATCGACTATCCAACTATCCATTTTACAGACCTCCCTCCCTATTAAGGAGCTAGAGGGAGCTCTGGTGGCATAGTGCCTAAAGCATTTGACTGCTATAACCAGAAGGCTGGCGGTTCAAACCCACCAGCCACTCTGCAGAAGGAAGACTGGGCAATCTACTTCCATATGGCCCGGAAAACCCAAAGGAGGTCACTATGAGTTAGAATCAACCCTATGGCAGAGAGTTTGGTTTTTTTGGTTTTGGTTTTTGGTTTACTTCCCGGTTGCAAATTAACTCTGAAGAATCCCAGACACATTCTTTAAACATGAGTCCATAAGACTTTACTCTGAGTGAGACCTCAGGATCGGTATGCTTTTCAGTGAATGTGGAAAGTAAGCAAGGAAACTTATGTGTCCACCTGCGGTTGCTGATGGTGACACCAAAGCAGACCAAGTGTGCTTTGGTTTGCTTGATCTCTCAATTCCCTGTTATTGCAGAATGGGTCATTGTTGGGAAATATTTCCTCACCTGGCATTCCAAGAAAGGGACGGCCTCTATCACTGTTTAATAGTTCCGTCTTTGAAAAAAAAACAAGGCTGAGTCTGTTCCAACTCATGGCAACTCTACGTGCATCAGAATAGAACTGTGCTCCACAGGATTTTCATTGGCTGATTTTTTCAGGAGTAGGCCTTTCTTCCAAAATTCTGTCATTAAATGAGTAGATATTCTATCCTGCCAGAAAAGGAAAATTGATAGAACCATATTGGGATCTCAAATCCTTTTCAGAAATACTGCCATCATGTGGCACTTTGGAGCTAGGACCACAAGAGTCCTGTGAAAGGTCATATGGTTCATCTCAAGATGGCTGGGCTCCAGTGAAATCTATTCCTATAACTCCCTAAATTCATATTGAATCATTCCCGTGGGCACAGAGTAAACTACAGTGAATTCTGTGGACATTTAGTTGTTTTTAGAATGCTTGACCTTTCCCCTCGTTATGTTGACAACATGATAAACCTATGTGGGCAATGTGTTTAAGAGGGGAAAAACAGCTTTAAAAGTAGAAATAGGAAGTTTTTATTATACCCTATGAGCTTTATATTTTATAAGACAAAGAGAATCTTAATTATTAAAATGTGTACTTATAACCTACTAATCGACAATACAACAATAAGAGAATTTCTTTCATTTGGAATGTGTCCAATTTAAGAGACATTTTTCCTCCACCAAATGTTCATATGGATTTTTTGTCCTTCTGTTGTTGCAAGAAATTGTTTAAATCTAGATTTATATTAAAAGCAATATTTGGCTGATGACAATTGGCACTTTAGAACTAATAATAAATAGTATCATTTATCTTTAGTCTCCCTTCACACAGAATTCTTACAATGGAGGTGTGAGATAAGTGAATAGTGCAATTTCCATTTCATAACTGGGAAAGGTAGATAAAGAGGTTACCGCAAAACAATATGAAATATTTTAAATGGACTCAAAGCTCTGCTTACCCTGATTTCTGCTCTAATACTTAAATGCCATCTGCAATTCTCTTTCATTCAAACTCCTTTTAAATACTCAGTAATATTTTTTAATTTCTTAAATTGAGCAACTAACTGTATAGAGATATATCCTGGGAGGAAAACCAGAAAAAAAAAAAGAGGATTTAGAAATCTAATCCACTTTTGAGAGGTGTACAAATGAACCATATTGATATACACAATCGAAAGATACTACATCTACTTTCATCCTAACAATCCATTACACAAAGACATTACATATCATGACTACCAGTTCCACTAAAGTGTTTTGATAGCAGTTAACACACATACAGTGCTTAATATGTGCCAGGCATTATTATTTTTATGTATACTAATTCATTTAAACCTCTCAAAAACCCTATGAACTAGGTAATAGTACCTCCATTTTAGAGATGAGATATAGGTTTAGGTAGGTTAAGAGATTTGCCCAAGGTTGCACAGCTAATTGGTGGCAGAGTGGGATTAAATTGAGAGTAGATCCCAGTCTGGCACCTGAAGCCTCTTAAACAGTAACACTGGGCTTAGTCACAAAATACTTGGGCAAAATCTAGAGTGAATTACCATTCTTCTTTTTTATATAGCAAGTTATCAGATTTATCACCTCCTGCAGTGCGACAAAGACCTGTGTCCTTGAAAGGTCGCTGTAAATCCAACTTAATGGTCATGAGCATGAATTTTAATGTTGCTAATGTCTTTTCTCGAAATGGCAAGCTGCTGAATATTTGAAATCACAAAACTGACCTTGAGTAGCAAAGGATGGAGATTGTTTTCTAAATTCTGTACAATAACCGTCTAGCTCTGAAATAAATACAGTCATGAGGCAAATTTGCTTGCAGATATTACCTTAATCTGTTATTTAAACTGAAAGAAAAAAAACATCTGTTCTATTTCATCTCATTTGGGCATTTCTCCTAAATCAGAAACTATAAATTAAACCTTTACAAGAACTAAGTACTATAACTCGTTTTATAAAAATGGGACCCACTAGGAGTTCTTCCAAGATTCTGAATGTCAAGCTCATAGATGCAAAAGCAAGTTAATGATATTAATTTATTACTTATTACAAATATGCATAAGTAATGTTTTAACTATAGAGTAGTTTGTGTGAGCGTGTGCTTTTTTGTTGTTTAAAAAAAAAAAAGAAAGAAAGAAAGAAACCACAAAACCAGAGGGGAAGTGTGGGAGCAGGTGGGCTGGGCAAAAACCTCATGACACATCTCTCCACCTCCCTGTGTTGGTGGAGAGCTTCTGGAGCAGCATTTAAATTCTGGGAGGTCCTGGTTGTCAGCAGCAGGAAGAGGAGGCAAAGGAGTGCGGTAGCAGCATCCTGTCTCTGACTGGACTCTACTGCCGTTGCAGCCTTCTCAGCCAGACGCCAACCAAGGTGAGTCTGCAGTTTGCTACTTCATTGCTGTACTAGAAATTCTGTTTAATTTCATGGGCAGTCCAAAGTATAGGAAAAATAGTTGAACTATAAGGAAGTTAGTTTGACTTAAATTGTTCCAGTCTTTTGAATAAGCATGTGAGATACATTGCAGAATTCCTGGAGGAAGGATAATCAGCCATTCCGAAAAGGCAGAATATTAAAAATACTTCCACTAGGTTCACAAAAGAGCTGAAACCACTTAAAATTCTATGCCACTTTAGAATTATTATAACTATATAGTAATGAATGACTAGATGATTGAGGAGGTATTTTTAAAAGGAATAGGATGTTTAGTGCTAATGCTGTTTATTATTATTCTTATTATTATTATTATATTATTCAATCTATTCCAATTTCAAGGGGAGAAAACCTTTTCTGAATGTTTTCCATCTGTATTTTGCTGTGAAATCCTTCACCACTATGCAGTGACACTATGTTGATTCATTATTACGATAGAGAAAAGCTGTTAACTGCTTTCAATGTTTTCTTTTTCATTTCCATTTTCTAGAATACCTGACTTATGTAAATAATTCCCTTTAAAGATAGAGCCAATTCACCTAAGTAGCACCTTCTTAATGACTTTAAAATTATATTCAAAATGCATGCTGGATAAATGGAAAAAACAAATTTCTTACATGACTTTATTTTCTCTGTGTGTATGTTTATCTTGTCTGAAAATTGATATAACCCCTTACTGTTATTATTATCAGGTAGTAATGATATAATCTCTGGAGTTCTAAATTTATAAACTAAATAAATATAGGCTTGTAGAATTTCTCCCCTCTTTTGCCTAATAGTGAGAGATGGAGAATAGAGGTCACATTACAAATATTAACTCAACAGTACTAAAAAGAATGGGTTCCTCTAAGTAAAAACATGTTCTACAGAAAGTAAACTGCATTTGTGGTTATTTTGTAAGGTAGTAGCATAAATAGATCTCACTGTTTTAACCTTTGAGGATTATAAAATGTACCTTAAAATGTCTTTTACAGGAAAAATCACTACCATGAGAATTGCAGTGATTTGCTTTTGCCTCTTAGGCGTTGCTTCTACCTTTCCAGTGAGTACGGATGAATCTTAAAGAAAATTCCCGAAAATAAATGAATTGTATGTTTGCATGTGCTAGGAACACATTCCCATTGTAATCTTCATCTTTTCTATTCAAAGGTTAAACGCCAAGCTGATTCCGGCAGCTCTGAGGAAAAGCAGGTAAGCATCTTCTAGGTTTACCATATAGTTAAATTATTTATGCAACTATTGCAAGCAGCACTATAAACATACTTGGTGTAATTTCATTTATTTTCCAAATCAACTCTGTTAAGTTGTAAGTATTTATGGGCTGCCTGCTATGAATCTAGCTAGATCAGTACCAAGCACAGAACAGTTTTTATTAAATATATTATCTTAAAACCAAATTAGATGCTTTTTCTAATATAGAAAATAATGCTCTGGGCCATTATCACTTATGTAAAATGAGTTCTACGAAATCATGTGACTTTTTCTTTCTGTGAATCAACATACTGTTCTGGAAGTGGAAAATTCCGTTCTTTGTTTTATTTAATGGAAGGCTAGCTTTAAAATTTGCCTCAGATATTAGTCAGGACAGGTTGTATGATTATAATACTCACAATATCTCCTCAGTATTTCCTCAGAGGCTCGTTGTGAAAAGAAAGTTCATTTTATACTGTTTGTATCTATTGTGCTTGTCAGTTGATTTTAGATTACATTTTCCTAACCAAACATTAAAACCAAATCAAACTCTATTATAATAGTTAGACCAGCACCATACATGTACCTTCCCCTCCACAATAGGTGAAACTGTGCCAGCCAACCAACAAATGGGCATTGTCCCAAGACGCCTAGACAAAAAGGCACACAGAGTACAATCCCAGATGAACAGAATAAAGGCCAATATATTGCCTGGGATCAGTGCAATTAGATTGCTTAATGAAGACATTAAGAGAGGTGTTACTGTGTACGAGGGGTGGGGTGTAGGTACATCTGTTTTCCAAATGATTGGAAAACACGGCTGTTGAATCACAAGAGTGAACCAGAAAAAACAAAAAAATAAAAGAAGAAAAAATTTTCAGAGAAACCGGTGGTCACACTATTTAAGGCAAGAATTGGATAGAATAAAATATGACAAGGATACATCCTTAAAAGACACATGAAGCAATGACACCATCTGTCCTTAGATGATACTCGGGATATTAATGAATGAGCTCAGGACTCCAAATTCTAGAATCCTAGAAATTTAGAGTTGGTAGGAAATATGGGGAAGTCTGTAAGGACCCCAGAATGGCTAATGTGTATGTTGTAACTAAGGACTGAATTTTTAGCTTTATTTAATTTAAATTAAGTTTAGATAGCCACCTGTGGTTGCTGTGGTTGCATGCTGTCAAGTTAATTCCAACTCATGTTGTTGTTGTTGTTGTTATGTGCCGTCGAGTTGGACACGACTCATAGCGACCCCTCCTTGGGTTTCCAAGGCAGTATCACTTTAGGGAAGTAGATTGCCCTGTCTTCCTTCCGAGGAGTGGCTGGTGGGTTTGAACCGCTAGCCCTCTGATTAGCAGTCAAGTGCCTTAGGCACTATGCCACCAGAGCTCCTAATTCCAACTCATAGTGACCCTATATGACATGGTAGACCTGCACTATAGAGTTTCTAGGCTGTAATCATTACAAGAGTAGATTGCCTGGTCTTTTCTTCCACCAAGCCACTGGTGGGTTTGAACCACGAACCTTTCAGTTAGCAGCCAAATGCTTAACAATTATACTGCCTGGGTTCCTTACATGTGGCTAGTAGCTACCACATCAGACAGTACAACCTTAGAGGATTTCTCCTTGTTTCATGGAGAGGAAACAATGAAGATTAACACTAAATAAGGGCATCCTTGCTTTAGATGTACTTTATATGAGAGGAAAATTCAGCTAACAAGCATAGAACAGGAAAGTTTAATGTTAAGATCAGCATTAAGAAATAGTTTCCCTACGTTTGAATCCTGGATCTGTCACTTGGTACTCATAACCTCATTATAGCTGTTTCCTGATCTATAAAATATCGATAAATTGTGATACCTACTTCTTAGGAGGTTAAAACCAAACACCAAACTCACTGCCATCAAGTTGATTCCAACTCCTAGTGACCCCATTAGAGTTCCAAAGTGGTAAATCTTTACAGAAGTAGATTGCCCAGTCTTCCTTCCATGCAGTGGTTGGTGGGTTTGAACCACCAACCTTCCGGTTAATAATTAAGTGCTTTAGGCTCTATACCATCAGAACTCCTTCTTAGGGCATTAAGAGGATTAAATTAATTAATAGACATAAAGCACTTTGGAAAAGTACCTAGACCCTGGTAGGTTCTATTTAAGTGTTTCTTAAATGAATCTGCAAGCAATAATAAATTATACCAAAGACCCCGAAGAGTCTAGTTGACTGAATGCATTTATATTATGCTCTTCCGTCCAAGACTGGTATAGTTATTTTTACAGCTTATTACTTAGAGATTCCTGTTTCTTTTTTTCTTTTTTTGTAATGACAAATACGCTTTTTTTTTTTTTTTTGTAGCTTTACAACAAATACCCAGATGCTGTGGCCACATGGCTAAAACCCGACCCATCTCACAAGCAAACTCTTCTTGCATCACAGGTATTTTTACACTTCTCCTAATATCAAAAAAAAAAAAGAAAGAAAAAGAAATATCTGCCAAGCCAACCATTTAGGCTTGTGAAATGGATCCATCTTTTCCCTCCTGCCTGTTGGTAATTGTGTGCTTAGGACATTGATTGATCCGCCACACTGGCTTCTTCCTGCTGTAAGCATCCATCAATCAGGCTAAAAATCAGACTAGAGCTGGTTTGGAAAGGCAAACTTTTATATCAAAGAGTTAAACATGTATGATGTAGACTAATAATGTACCCTTCCCTCCTGTGCAGAACACCTTGTCCTCTGAAGAAACTGATGACCTTAAACAAGAGGTGAGTCCTCCCTTTCAATAGGAGGCCTATCACATCTTGGAGAGAAGAAAGAAGCCATTCTTTTTTCTAATGGCATTGCCTGAATTTTCTTCAGATGAAATTCCACTACCAAATTCTTTAGTAAATTGCCAGTCTAAAACTGGTCAGAAAACCAACACACATGTATCTACTAAATGTCAGAAATTTCTCCATGTATGGTTAGTGCTACGGGGAATGTTTACCAATGCCTGCTATTTTAAATATTAAGCCTCTTGCAATTTATTTAAGGTATTTTGTAGCTGTTTTTCCTAATATCTGATAAGCACTTAATTAATTAACTAACTAATTCGGTTAAGAAATTTGAGCTGGAGTTTTTCCACACTTACATATAAAATCACTTTTTGATTATCTATGCTAAAAGTGAAGTGGTTTTAGGTTGTGGCACATATGTTCAAATATGCATATTGTAATTTCCAGTGAATCCCCAATATTTCAAATAGAACAATCAATCTCACAATTATGTATCTGTATCTATTGCATCATTGAATTTAGTAAACTAAATAACTCTAATATATAAGGAAAAAGATCATTATTAATATGAATGTTACTTGGCTTGAAAATCTCTATCAAAATAATTTTTATGGGAAAGCAAGGAAAAATAGCTCAGATTATTATTCCATCAATCCTTGTGGGAGACATTAAAGGAGAAACTAGAAGATGTTCACGCTGGCTACTAAAAGCCATGAAATGTACTGTGAATGCAGAGATTCTTCAACTAAATAAAAGAAAAATAGTATGTAATATAAAGGCTGAGGAAAAATAGAATGTTATATGCTGATTTTTTTGGCCTTCTGGATTTGTAGACCCTCCCCAGTAAGTCCAATGAAAGCCTTGACCAGACAGATGATGTGGATGATGAAGATGATGGAGACCATGTGGACAGCCAGGAGTCAGACGACTCAGAAGATCATGATCATACTGATGACCCCTACCATTCTGATGAGTCCCACCATTCTGATGAATCTGATGAACTGGTCACTGATTTTCCCACTGAAGTTCCAGCAACTCCAGTGTTCACTCCAGCTGTGCCCACAGTAGAAACTTATGATGGCCGAGGTGATAGTGTGGCTTCTAGACTGAAGTCAAAATCTAAGAAGATCTATAGATCTGTAATCCAGGTAAATCCTTTAACCAATACAGTGGATATTTAGGACTAGAGCTCACTTCCAGGAAACCAGACCCTGCATATTCATGCATGCATGCATGCATGCGTTCATTCACCAAGTAAGCAAGCATTTATTAGTAACCTACTTTATTACCAAGGAGCTCTGGTGGCACAGTGGTTAAGGCAGGCTGTTAATCAAAAGGTCAGCAGTTTGAGCCCACCAGCACTTCCACAGGACAATGACTAGGCTTCCTTAAAGATTTACTATGGGGCAGTTCTACTCTGTCCTATAGGGTCACTATGGGTTGGAATCGACTTGATGGCAGTGAGTTTAGTTTGGTTTGGTTTTACTTGTTTTTACATTAAATACAAAACCATTTTCCACTTGCTAGTTTTTATGCTTAAGCCTACATAATTTCTCCTTAATTTTCTGTCTCGAGCACAATTCTATTTTTACAACTCCTAGCTCTAAGGCATTTATCCTATGCACTTTAAATTAAAGACTTCAAAAAACAGCAATTATTTTTGAAATATAGTGATCATATCTTGAAGCTAAATATTCAGAAGAAATTGTAGAGTTGTAAATTACACTGAATCTTAGTCAAAGGATCTGGATTTGATACAGCCTTGCTGTTTCCTCTTTACTTGACTTTTTCACTTTCATTTTCCCTTTACACAAAACAAAAATAATGAGACCTACCTCATAGGTCTCATCACATATATTTGATGTAAGTTGATGTGTATAAACTAAAGGAGATGACATATCTTTAAGGGTGTGGTAAATTACAAACTACTATACTGGTCTTTTTTTTTTTTTTTTTTTTTTTTACATTAACCAATAGTTAGACAATTTTCAGTGTAAATTAGCCTAAAAGTTAGAGAGCAGTACAGAATTACAATGTCCCCATCCTTGTCTGTTCATTTAATTCTGTTCACTTTGTGCCGTGATTCAGTATCCTGATGACACAGAGGAACTCACCTCACATATGAGAAGCAAGGAGTTGGATGATGTTCCCAAGGCCATCTCTGTTGTCCACGTCCTGAAAAGGGCTTCTGATTGGGACAGCCATCCACAGGACAGTCATGAAGTCAGTCAGCTGGAAATCAGTCACAGTGTGGAAACCCATAGCCATGAGCAATCCAAAGAACTGGAGGCAAAGGATGAAAGCAATGAGCGTTCTGATATGATTGATAGTCAGGAAATATCAAAAGTCAGCCATGAATTCCACAGCCAAGAATTTCACAGCCAGGAAGACAAGCCCCACCGAGATCCCAAGAGTGTGGAAGAAGAGCAACACCTGAAATTTCGTGTTTCTCATGAATTAGACAGTGCATCTTTTGAGACTAATTAAAAGTAGGGAAAAAAATGTGTTATCTCTTACTTTGCTTTTAGTAAATTGGAAAGAAACAGTATAGGGGGTGGGAGAGCATATGAAATGTTTATTTCTCAGCTTAGTGGATGAATGTATATGTATGTGGATCTGGAAATAAATGTTTTTAATCATTAGTTTAGTTTGTGGCTTAAGAGTAACACCCTTGTAAACTAATGCTGCAGGGTTTGGTCTATGTTCTTTCCCTATAAGAAGCTGTAACTGAGTTTTAATGCTTGTTATTCTTTTATGAATATAAATTTATGTAGAAGCAAACAAAACATTTTGACAAACTTATAAAAGAGAATGTTACATTTTATGTAACTGTAATCTTGTTTTTTAAAGTAGTGTATATTTTGTTGTGATTATTTCTGTTTCTGTGAATAAATCTTGTATCTAGGATGTAATGAGACTTTGATGGTGTCATTATTTGGTTTCTTTGATGAGTCTCTTATTTGGTTTCTCATAGGGTATGGAAGTACATTGCCCAGTCTTCCTTCCAAGGAGTATCTGGTGGGTTTAAACTGCCAGCCTTCTGGTTAGCGGTCAAATGCCTTAGGCACTACGCCACCAGAACTCCCTAATAAAACATAACCATTTTAAAGAAGCTGTTGGACTTAGCAGAGAGTAACCTAGGGCTCCTGGGATCAACTGGCTGAGCTAAATAAAATTCCTAGTCAAGGGGATGGAGCCAAGTAGGAGTGGATATTCAGCCAGTACTTCTCCAGCCCTGTGGAACTCTGTGGGCCACTTCCACTTAGAGAAGGTACCTTTTTACTAATTGTCACAAAGCTGATATAAAAGCCTAAATACAATCACAAACCAATTTTATTATTTCTCATCACTCCCCTTTGATTTGCTCAGTGAATGTATCACTTTCCAGTCCTTGGATGAAACCTTGGGTAGGTCAGAGCTTTTTTAAACAATCTTAGATAATAAAAACATAGTTCTTTTTTTGTACTAGGTAACTTAAAAATGCTGCTTCAAGTAATAATCAAAATTCCCAATTTCACTGAAAACTAAAGCTTCTGAAAACCATCTTCTTTGTTTTCATTCCTTACTCTTCTGCTCTTTCTAAAGCTAGAAATTTCATTTAGAATTGTTTAATTCTCCCTTAAATTACTCTTGGGACAAAGGAGGAAAACTTAAATTGTGGAATTTCTGTAAAATAATCATAATGAAGACACAGAATCAATTAGGTATAGCTAATTCCATGAGCATAGGAAAATGCATAATCTTAAATTTTTGCAGCAACAAAAAAATAAAAGAAAAAAAAATGAATGGATAAACTAAGCTCTTATCTTAAAAACTAGAAAAAAGAAACAAAGTAAAGCTAAAGAAAGCATAAAGAAAACAAACTAACAAAATTAAACACAAAAAGTAACGAGGTACCAAAAACCAAAACAAAACCCACTG